TCAGTTATGAACTGACCAATGGGTTGATCCATTAATGAAATCAGAACCCTCATGATCCAATCACTTTCCAGAAGCCCTATTTTTTGTTTGTTTGTTTGTTTGAGACAGGGTCTCACTATGTAGTTGAGACTGACCTGAAATTCACTAGGTAGCCCAGGCTGGTTTTGAACTCACAACAATCCTTCTGCCTCAGCCTCCTGAGTGCTGGGATTACAGGCATGAGCCACCACGCCCAGCTCAAAAGAAGCCCTACTTTTGAACACTGTTGAATTGAGTTTTTAGGGAACATTTTAGACCCCAACCATTACACCACTCTCATGGGAAACTAAACAGGGTCCTGTGAGTGCATCACTAATCTCTCTGAGGTAGTGACTGCCCTCAAATTACCTGACCACATCCTACTAGATCCTACTGCTTATAATTCCACCACCTTAACACTGCCACACTAGGGACAAAACCTCAGCTCATATTCAGCACAACCTCAAACCATATTCAAACCATAGCAATGGGTCACTAATCAACAGTATATTACTTTTCTCATTTCATTGAGAAGACCAAAGCTCAGAGAAGTTGCCTAAGTCATAGCACAGGAAAACTGTGAAGCCTGAGATTTGAATTTAGATCTGTCTGATCTATGATCTTTTCACTGAAGCAAGATCCCCTTTGAAGACAGGATTGGAGTCTGCCTGATTTTGTCTCCACTCTCCTGCATTGATTAGGTATCCTTCTGAGCTATTCTCTGGTCATAGCCAGATGGGACTTTAGTTCAGATCATGTCTCCCCACCCTATTCCACTTTTGCTTAGGATGTTCCAGTGCCTTCCCATTTTGCTGAAAGTAAAGGCAAAAATCCTCACCACATCTCAAGGGTCATCAGCTTCATCATGTCTTCTGCCCCTGGAGTACTCTCCTCCAGCTATTCCCCAAAGACTCACTGTTTTGCATGTTTTTTCCTCATCCTGAAAAGCCTTTCCCTCTCCTGGTCTTTTCCATCTTTCAGGCTTAGCTGAAATGTCATCTCTTCTGAGGCCCTCTCTAGCCTCCCCAACATATATTCCCTTCACCACCCTTACCATCCTTATCTCTCAACTGGAATGTCAGCATCTCGAGGGCAGTCCAGGCACCTAATTATTTATTACCCAATACAAGCACAGTGCCAGCAGGCTCTTGGTAAATAGTTGTAGAATAAGTATATGGCTGCCTTTCCACAAGAAGAGCAGGGTCCATTCTTCCCCACAGCAGCCCTTGGTGGCTGCTCAGAAAATATTTGCTGAATAAATTCATGGATGCACGCATAGATTTATGGATGGATGGATGAATGAGTTCATATGCAAAAGATCAGTTTGGTCACAAAAAAGTTTTGAATTACATTTTAGGTCAATGTGCACATACTCCAGAAGCCTCTGAGAGGGCCAAATCTGGTGACTCCTATCTTGCTCACGGAAACCTCGAAGCACTGGCAAAAGTCTACATGTGTTTGAAATGTGGATGTCAGCTGCCATTGAACAGCTTCCCCAAGTCAGACTGAGTGCATTCCATAATTTAGCCACGAGGCAGCACCCTGTCACAACTGCTAGCAACCGTTCTTCAGTGCATAGGTTCCCCACAATCCCAGGGGAATCTGATTGTGTGCTTGCCCTATGAGATTGTTCCATTGGCTGTGAAGATTATGGGTCAGACTTGGCTGCTCAGATCAGCAGAGCATGATCCAGAAGTATAGGAAACTTGGGGCCCAATCAGCTTCACTAGTTAGATAAATGTTTATTACTACCTGTTAAGTGCCAGGCACTGTTTGAGGTGCTTGTGATATGTCAGTGAACTCAATAGGAGGTTTTCTTCCCCCCTTGGAGTTCATATTCTAGGCAGGAAGACAGACAATAATAATAAATATACAGTATTAAATAAGGCAATTGTCTAGCCCATAGAAAGTTAGAGTTGTGATAAAGTAAACATAGCACAGGACAGTGGGATGGGAAGGCTGAGATGGAGGAGTATGAGGTACTCTTATATAAGGCAGAACAGGTAGGCCTATTGAGAAGGTGACTCTGGAGACCAGAGTAGGAGGAGATGAGGGAGTGAGATATGTAAGTGCCCGGATAAGAAGGCTTCAGAAGGAGGGAGCAGTTGTGCGAAGAAAGGCTCACAGGTGAGAGCACAGCTAGTGTGTCTGAGGAAGAAAAAGGCTGGTGTGGAGCAAGGAAAGCAAAGAGAAACAGGACACAGAGGGCTCCCAGTTCCATGGATCCTTGCAGAAGCCAGGTGGATCTTTTGCTCTGACTGAGGGATGGAGGGAAAGAACTGTGAACTGCCTTGTTTTAATGAGTTCATTCTGTCTACTAGGATGAAGATGCATTCTAGCTCTCCTGAGGTCATGGTTGGATTGCAGTCTCCTCCCCTCTCCCAAAAATTCAGTTTGTCATGTGACTTGCTTAGCTACTGAAATATGAATGGAGGCAATGGGCAGATAGGCCCACAGGCGACTCTGCCACTACTCTGTACCTAGCAATGCTCTGGGTGGTGGCTGCCCTATTAAACCAGGTCCTGGAGGGACTGTGAGGAGCAGAGCCTCATTTACAGACTTGGGTTTATGTGAGTATGAGCAAAACCTTTATTGGATGACTTACTAGGCTGTTTGGTATTATTTGTTACTGCATTGTAACCTAGCCTATCTTGACTGCTAGGGGGTAGAAAGCTACAGCAATAGTCCATATGAGAGATGGAGGCCCAGACCAGGGTATTAGCAGTGGAGATGCTGAGATGTGACTGGATCCTGGATATGGTGAGTTCTATCTTGTTGGACACTTTTTTTTTTTTTTTACAGTCATAAAAATGTTCTCATGCTTTGTTCTGAGATGCAGTCAAAATATGTGGAAATGGTTTGATCCTTTCATATTTTGCCTTTATATTTTGTTAGGAAACATCAGAGCTGCATTTATTCTCAAGTTAGGCATTCCCCACTATTAAGGCATGATACCCACTTTTAGAAATCCAACTGATGCTCTGTAGATTTTGATGTTTTCCATTCTTGCTATTGGAAATAAGTAATACGATGGGTCTGGTGTGGGTTATTTGAGTATTTTTCTGAAATCTTTTAGGGTGAGTCTTTTCCTGGTATGAGTTCTGTCCTTAAATGTGTGTATGGCTATGCACTCATCTGAATACTCAAGGGCACCCTCTATCCTTGTCTCTAATCTTCTCTCGGTGAATCTTTCTCTTTTCCATAACTGTGAGCTGCTATGGCTTCCCTATCCTCTCAGCCTGTTCTTAACAGCTCAAGGAGACAGCCAAGTTTCACCAGTGCTGGTGTTGGGGCAATCACAGGACTCTCCTTATTTGCTTCTGTCCCTCACAGTCATTATCTTCTGTGGTTTGAATCCAATACCTTGACTGCCATTGCTTTATAGACTTTGTCCCATTTTTTATTTATTTCAGAGAGAAGGGTAAACCTGGTAAACCTGTTATTCCCCTGGCTGGAAGCCCTGTGCTACATTTTGGTACTGAAACCATGCAAACGACTGCCTACCATTCACCAAGCAGTGCAGCTGGAGATGAGAGAAATTTCTAATTCTCTTGACATGGAAACAATACATTTCAAAGCAGTGAGAATGATTGGCACCTTACTTTTCTTTTTTAGTCTCTTATATATGGCATTTGGAGTTGATACTATATATTTTCACAGTCTTTCTCTTTCTGAGAATTCCAACAGGAATTCCACAGGTCTATTTCTATGATCTATTGTTTCTGTTGCATCTAATTTGTTTTGTTTTGTCTTTTCCTATCTTTGACTTTTTTTCTGGACATTTTATTGGAACAAGTTTTTGTGGAAATTTTTAACATGACATTATCTTCATTCAGAAAGTATTCTGGGACTCTTAGCCCAAGTTCCAGGCTGATTCTGTTCCCTGGCTAGTGTCTTTCTGATTCACTCCTATTTCTAAAAGCCTTAGTTGGGCATGGTGGCACATATTGGCAATCCCAACACTCTGGGAATCTGAGGCAGGAGGATCAAAAGTTCAAGTCCAGCCTTGGCAACTTAGTGACTTAGCAATAACTATGTCGAAAAACAAAGAGGGATGGGATTGTATCTTAGTATGAAGACCCTGGATTCAATCCCCAGTATCCCTCATTCTCTCAAAAAGCAGGCTTTCACAGTTCCAGCCCAAAATATGAAGATAATTTACTAAGATCTCAGCCTTTGGCAGGTCATGATTCTCAGTTGTGTCCATCCAACACTTTGAGGATGTTAAAAGGGCAATTCAGCTTCTCAGCTGCTCACTTTGATAAGTGTGTCCAGTGTACAACTGGCTCTGAGCTCTTTGGTAAATCATCAAGGAATATTTCTGGCCTAGTGCTTTGGTTTTGATAATAGCCCCCAAAATTCATGCAATGGAATCTTAATTTCTCCATGATGTAGTGTTGGCAGTGGGAAGTATCTGGGTCCTGGGAAGAAGCCCTTATGAGTGGCTTAGTGCCTTCCCTGCTGGAGTTCCTACTCTCAGGGGACTGGATTAGTTATCATGAGAGTGACTGTTACAAAGAAAGGCTACATCTCATATTTTGTCTCTCCACACACATTCACTTTTCCTTCCATGAATTGAAGCAGTGTGACATCCTCACCAGACGGTAAGCAGATGGTGGCACTGTATTTTTGTATGTCCCAGCCTCCAGAACCATGAACTATATAAAATCTTTTTTCTTTATAAATTTCCCAGGCTCAGGTATTCTATTCTAGCAACAGTAAACAAACCAAAACACTTGAGGACACAACTATATAATTCATATTTTTGAGGAGATCTAAAAATATTTTCCAGCTTTAAAAAACTCATTTTATGTATAACTTGTCATTAGCATCATATATGTATTTTTATTTATTTATTTTATTTAAACAAACATTATATTGCACTTACCTGGGGCCAGATACTTCTAAGCACTCCACATAAAACAAGTTAATGCTCACAGAAGGCCCATGAGCTAGTTACTATTTTTGTTGTCATTTTGCAGACAAGGAAATGGAAGACTAAAAGGATTCAGTGACTCATTCAAGGCCTCAGAACTGGTAAGTGGCAGCACTGGGCTTCAAACCACAGCAGTGTGTCCACAGAGTTCATACTCTTGTCTCTGGGGTGGCTATGAATTTTTGTTTACAACCTGAAGTGAAATCTCTGTAGGACTATGATGGGGATCAGTCCAGCCCTGAGAAGGTTAGGTTTAAGTGGAGAACTGATAGATAAGTGGGACTTTCCTAATCATAGACTGGATGGAAGACCAAGGAAACAGCATGAGCAAAGGATCTGAGGTGGTACAGCCAAGGAATGTTGAGAAGGCTATTGAAGAGGAGGGTAGCGTGAGATAAGGCAGGGGAGGAAGTAGGGAGGCCATATTAAACATCATGGATTTTATTCAAAGCCCCCTGGAAAGCCTTTGGGAATTTTAAGGAGGGAAGTGACATGGTCAGATACTTAGGCTCATATTAAGTACAACTGGACTCAGGAAAGGAGAAAATATCTATGGATAAAAAGAAGTGTTTGACCCTTGGCTCATCATTGCCCCAAAGTCACACCAGGGAAAGCTTGACATCATCAGGGTTGAGGGTGTCTTTGAGGAGAATAGTTTGGAGTAGTACATTTCGTTCTTTTCTCTTGGTCGTTTCCCTTAGACCAGAGCAGGAAGCATCCTTTAGGAAAACCATACATAGACAGCAGATGTTGAGATTGACCTTCCTTTCATTACCCGCTATGTGTGACAGGGCTTTCCAGACAGATAGAACCACTAAGATGTGTAGGTAAGGGTTAGGAGAGTGGGTGGGCTAAGGGGATTGGCTCACCCAATTGTGGAGGCTGGGAGTCCTACAAATGGTGAGCGGGAGAACCAAGGCTCCCAGCCACAGAAATCGAAGGCTGCTGCTATGAATCCTGGAGTGCAAAGGCCAGAGAGCCTTTAGGTCTTGTCTAAGGACACAGCAGAAGACTATATCTTAGCTCCCGGAGGTAGATAGACATGTTTGCCTTTTTTTTCTGTCTTTGTTCTCTTTAGGGCCCTGGTAGAAGGATGGTGACCACCCACACTGAGAACATCTTCCCCACCTCTTCCATCCATTCCCACACATTAGCCTCCTCTGGAAACACCTACCAAGACACACTAAAAAATAATGCTTTTTCAGGTTTCTAGTATTCCTTAATCCGTGCAAGTTGTAAAATTAACCATCCTACCCAACTATGCAACCCCCATGTTTGCTGAGCTACAGATCCTGAAGGGCTCCTTTAGGAGGTGCACTGATTGTGGAGAGTGATGGCCTCCACTTCTGGAATCCAGCATGGCAAGGTGCCAGTGGATTTTTGGGGGCCAGTGTGTGTGGAAGATGTGGCTGGCGAGAATGCCCCTGAATGAATTCTATATCTAAGAGTCTTGGCAGGGTGTCTGCCTGATCAAACTGGCAGAGCAGGATATGAGGCACCCTAGATGATGCCAGGGAATGGGCAGGACAGGCTTCAGCAGGAAAGGGAGTCTTGGAAGACCACCCAAAGCTCACCATGAGAGAAAGGGCTTCTGATCTTCTGGGGACTTAGGTGGGAGATGGGAGGGTGGCCTGACAGTTGTTTTGAGGCAAATGATAGAATAGTAGCAGGTTCCTCCTGCTGTCTTCCATGAAGTCCGTCCTGCCACATTCAGATGCAGGCAGTCAGCTCAGGTCAGGGCACAGAGTGGGTAAAGCCAGCTGCCTGTCTTGTTCATCAGTCCGCCTGTCTCTTCTGTTGCTGCTTTTTGATGTCTTATAAACATTTTCAGAGCTTGTTCTATTCTATTTCTGCCCACTTCTCTGGGCCCATTTGCCTTTGGTCCAATTTCTTTCTGCTAGTACAACAGAGTACATGAGACTTGGGAATTTATAGAAGAAAAGAAGTCTATTTAGTTCATGGTTCTGGGGGCTGGGAAGTTCAAGGTCATGGCACCAGCATCTGCTTGATTTTGTGTGATTTTGTACTGCTCCAGCTCACGGGGAATGCAGATGCCAAGTATATGCATGCAGAAGGCATAAAACAGAAGAGCCAGCCTCATTTTATAACAACTTGTTCCCTGAAAACTAATCCAGTTCCATGAGAGAGGAGGTTCACTCACTTCTGCCAGAATCAACCCAGTCCCACAAAAAAGGCACTGTTCCCTCTTATTGACATAGTCACCTCTTAAGGACCCCACCACCTCTCAACACCATTACACTGGGAATCCAATTTCAACATGAATTTTAGAGGGGACAAGCCACATTCAAACTGTAGCACTGGATGGTGTTGGGGGGTGTCTTTGTGAGAGTTCTGTTTGTTGCATCTAGATTTCTAACTAATTCTTTAATAATATTTTCCTTGAGAATCTTTCAATTGAAGGATATTGAGATATTTTTAGAATATGATAAGTTTTGTTTGTATTTAAGAAAAGTCCACTAGCTGGGAATGGTGGTGCACACCTGTAATCCCAGCACTCAGGAGGCTGAGGTAGGAGAATTGCCATAAGTTTGAGGCCAGCCTGGGCTACATAGTGAGTTCAAAGCCAGTCTGCATTATAGAATGAGACCCTGTCCCTGTCTCTCCACCACAAAAAATGACCACTTATTTTCCAGATTACTGTTTTTTTTTTTTAATTTCCACTAGGAATGTATGAGAAATCCAATTTCTCTACATCCTTACCAGCATTTGGTATTAGTGATATTCCATTGAATTAATACACTATAGTGAATGTTTAGTCAGAGGTTATCACTACCTTTTGGCTACTATGAAAATACTACTATAAACATTTGTGTACAAGTCTCTGAACATCTGCTTTTAGTTCTTTAGGAATGGATTAGCTAGCTTGCGTAGTAGCTCCATGATTAACTTATTGATCAAGCATCAAACATCAAACATCAAACTTTTTCACAGTAGTTGTACCATTTTACATTTCCCACAGAAGTGTATAAGGGTTCTAATTTCTCCATGTCCTTGCTAACATTATATATATAT